GTGGAATGGCGTCGCTGCCGGGTGTCTCCCCCGGGGCTTGCCCGGGTTACCTGACCGGCTCCGGAGTTGCACTGCCTGTGTCAGGCGAAAAAGGCTCCAGCAGTAACTGCTTGGCGCTTATGGTAGGTTATTGGGAGGCTTCCCAAGTGGAAATAAAATTCCCGGCTTGCCTATATACGTAAGACTAGCCATGGGAAGGAAGCCCCTTAATTTGGTTTTGAGTCAGCTCTTGACACCAATTGAAATGCTTTGGATCAGTGCAAAAAACGGGAGTTCATCCTATTTCTTCTTTAAGTCTGGAATTTACATCTGTGGTTCTTGAAAACAGAACAATATCTTCGGATGGAATAAAGGGTTTTCATCTGAAGTGCTTCCTTTTGAAGCAACACTGCATATGTGTTTTATTTACTTAGTATTTAGTATGATTTATACCAGAGCATCACATCCTCATTTATATGCTCCTTTCAGCGTTGTCTGCAGAATTTCAGTTGTATTTGCATGCTCTACTTACACTTTAAGTCTTGCCTGAATTTTATACGGTCTGGCTCACTGAGAGCACTCAAATTGGCATGGCAGTGCAGTTCATTTGATGTGCTTCACATCAGTTGATAAAGACACTAGACTGAGAGTCTCCTGGAAAAGGTGGCACTCAGGAACCATCTGCAGTCCACAGAGTGATCCGTGTATCCCAGAGTTCATTTTGGCCTCTGACACAGAATGGCAGATGAATTGCTTTCCTGGCTGCTGCACAAAGAGGAAGTGGATGCATACAATGTAATACACGTAATTGCATAGGAAATCCAGTGCTTCCTGGAAGGACTGATCATATGACAGGGAAAGACTGCAGCCATCCTGTGAAACTACACTGCAGGTGAAACTACGTGATCTGCTGCTGAAAAGATTGAGCGGATCGGGTTGCTCTTAAAGAAGAGCAGAGACTGTAGGTCCTTGGTACTTAGGCTTGGATTTCAGATCTGACCCTGTGACAGTATTTTTGTTAGTTTGATGCTGATCCACTTGAAGTCCCACAAATTTTATACAGTAACAGAAATTAAGTAGTTAAGGAGGGTTTTTTTTTAATACACCATGCTAAAAGAAATCTCAAAATCGATCTAGAATTCAATGTAAAAATGAATATAAAACTAAATTTGTTATGGAGTGATTACTTATGACAAGATAATATTATCAAATTATCTTAGTAATACTGGACAGAATATAGAAATCTTGATCTGTTTTGGCATGACGGATCCAGACAGAGAGTACAGAGAATAGCTGAACAGAACTTGCATATGGGTCTGTGTTCTGTTTATATTTCACATTTGTGTTTACTTTATGTTTGTCCTCTTATGCCTGTTCCCACTGTTCAGTTAGACAAAAGCTGAAGAAGCATGTAAATGCATACTAGAGAAGAACGTCAGTAGTAATGGTAGTTTCTGCAGAGTTTCAATTTAAATCACGTAGGATATAAAGTAACAAATGGGAAAATTCTTTGTGAAATGTTTGATGAGAATCTGTATTCAAGGTACTTAATTTAAGCTGTGGCAGAGTATTATCTGTTTGAAGTTAAATCCTTTAACTTCTACATTGTCTGAAATGGTTATGGTGAGTTTGCTCTCCTAATAGTACAGGAGAGCCTTTAATAGTCTCTTCTTGACTTAATTTAAATTATTAGTGATGACAGTAGAATTAATGGCTTACAATTGGAATAGAAATCAAGCTGGTTCTGAAAGCAGCCACTAGCAATATGTATATTATTAACTATTAATACTATCTACTTTATTTTGTTTGTAGATAAGGCAAATCCGATACTTACATAGAACAGCAGTGTGCAATGCCAGTGGAGGAGCATTATTTGTGGTACGTAATTTTCTACCTTACTGTAAGGGGAATGTGCAAGAAGAGCTTGGGATGTGCTTTTTTAATCTGCCTAAAAGCTTCTGATGGGCAGAACTTTGCTACAGAAGCCTGCTGGCATTTACAAAGAAGCGTTTTTTTCAGTAGAACTTCTTATTAGAGTTACGATGGAGTATCAAAAGGTTTTATTTTAGTTTTTGGCCTTGTGTTTCTTTCCTTATATAGTAAAAACTGTTATTAATAGAATGGTGATATTAGTAGCATTCGTGTGTGGTGCAGATGAGACTTTCCTTAAACTTCATTTCATTACAAAACTGTTCTTGTTTCCTTTTTTTACTGGAGTTAATTGAGTTTGTAATTGAAGCTCATGAAACTTTTTGCAGGCGCAATTTCTTGATTTCTAAAATTTGCCGCAGAATTACCCTTAGGTCCAGGTCTAGCCCTGTTTACTAGGAGTTAAAAAGTACAGTTCTTGTTCATATTATATGTGATATAGCATGTTGCAGAATGATTCACAATTGAGGCCATTAGGCATTATCATAATATGTATAAATAGTAATAGTGATTGCAAAAAAGAAAAAACCCTCAAATTTAAATGTGTAAAGGAGATGTGTTGTCTGTCTACCTCTGAAGAGATCCTGAAGCATCTCTGAGACGTGTATTGTCCCATTCTGCTCCTTTCAGAGCTTTATGTAGTCTGCAGTTTAACAGCTGAATAATTTGGCATTTTTCCAACATTGGGTAGAAATCTGCACTTTACTAGAGAATTGACCACTTTGTTGAAAGCAGGTGCTCAGCAGCTCAGCATTTTTGGACAGGTTGTTGTTGTTGCCTTTCTGCAGCTGTGTCTACGGTTTTTCCCATAAGATGAAGTTAATGGGATTATAATACATGCTTCATATACTTTTCCAGAAACCTGAGCAGGCATTGATGATTTACGGAGTGAGAGCTGTATTCAAGGAATAGAGGAAACAGTGTAGGCTGACAACTTAGGAAACTTCACATGTAGTTTGAGGTTGTTGAAGACAGGCAAAAGGTGTCTTTGGCACCCTAATGGATGTTGGTGCCTGGCATATGAAGCTAGACGGCTTTGTAAATTCTCCAGGCATTTTTCAAGATTTATGTTAACTGTTGAAATTATTTGCTGGAGGGAGGAGCCTGAAAATAGAGAAAAGGAAGTAGAAAAGTAAAGTTGTGTATTTTAGTTAGCTAGTTGTGATTTGCAGCTGTGTATTTAATAGCATCATTGACTACTTTTATTTTTTCTCCACAACAGAATTTTTGCTAGAAGAGCATGGGAAATTGTTTCTGTGTGTGTTTGTTGTTTTTTTTTTTTTGTAGGGTAATATTTGCTCTTCTATGAAGTAAAAAGCTGTAGGAAGAAGACAGTTGGATGTCACTGTGTGTGTGTGTAATTGTTTGCCCTAACTACAACTAAAAACCTTCACAGCAAATTTCAAGGGAAACTTGTCCTGCTGATCTGAGCTGAAGGTGTTATTTTAATCAACAGTAGGTGTTTGCATAGTCAGAAAATGGGACTTCTTTGGCCCAGAGTTCTCTAGAGGAAAAAACCCAACTTAAAAATAGTCTTAGTTTTCTGGAATATTACAAGCAGATGAAGTGTCAAAGGTTGTTAAAAACTGCTTGAGGAACAGTGGGCTTACCCGGGAGTAACTCTAACCTGTTGTGGTGGTCCTCTTTGTATGTCAGTTTACACACAGGTGTCTTGGTTTTGTTTTGCAAAGGATACTGGTGCTTCTTGTTGCACTTTCCATATATGAAATCTATATGTGAGGAAGGGAAATGCATACAGCATATTCGTTTTGTAACAGCAGGGGACAGGCTAGCAGGGGACCTGGTTGTCATAAAATCTAGTATTAAAAGGCAGTTCTGGTTTGCATACCTATGCATCCCTTTGCAAACTTTTTTCATGCAAGTTTTTTTCCTTACATGTTACCAGAAACAAGACAACTTCTACCGAAACTCCTTTTTATTCTGAAACAGCCAAGAAGATACTTTCTCTCTACCATTAAGCTCAGTTTGGTGCCATCACAGGCAGCTAGATCACAATTCCAGAAAGAGTCTATCAAGTTTAAAACTAGATAGATTGTTTGCCCGTAGTAACGTAAGAAAGCTGCTCCAAATTTATCACGTTTCTGATGGCTAGGGAAGGCCTGATTTCAAAGATACTGTTATTTACAGTAGTTACCTTTCTTTCTTTCATGCCTTCTCTATGTTTGACTTTTACCTGTCTTTAGCCTGCTTAACAGCTAAAACTTAACTCTTCTACTTTGTGGTTTTCAACACATGGACTGAGTTTCCTTAACACATCAACTGCCCTGATCTGGGCTTTGTCATAGGGCTGCACAGGGGTTCAGTACAGAATGTTAGATAATTGCTATATTATACTTTTAATTACTTGTGAAGATGGTCAGTGAAATACTTGGGTCTGAGAGCACTTCAACCATTCTTAATTGAAGAGAGGTTTATATCTTGAGTTCTGCTGGAATAGTCAATGTAGGGTACTTTCCCCTTGGAGGAGAAGTAATAAATTTCTTTTCATTGCTGATTTGATATGGACTTTTAACAGTTTGTTGCTCTAAACATCTTTTTCCCTGCAGACCACACGGATCTCTCATTTTGGTTTACAGTGTTTTGGACTGGTGTTTACCACAGGGCATAGGTCAAGTTTCAGGCGGACTTTTTTGCAGTATACATGAAAGCTAAATTATTCTAGTTATTATATTGTAATTCTTCATCTTTCTGTCAAGAAAGATGATTAGATCACTGAAAAAGAATAATAAAATCTCCCAGGTTGGTGTAGCAAAAAGGATGAACATTCAGCAGCCTTCGTACCGTCCATGGGAGAGTACCATCATCTGTGGGGACAGTGTGGCTTGGGTAGGCCTTCAGAGTGCCGTTGTTCACGCTATAAGTAGGTTAGGCTGAATGCTGCAATACAAATGTGATACAGTCAAGCTATGCATGGAATGAAAACATATTGTGTAAGACTTCAGGAAACTGGGGAGCATGAGAAGGGAATCTGAAAAAATGCGTGGGTAGAGTTTGACTTTGCTTTTCAACAAACTGCTGTAGTTGGTACAGACATAATTGTTTGTATTTAGTTTGTGTACGGAGGAAGCCTTAGTATATCGGTTTCTTTTTATGAGTGCCTCTTACATGAGGAAAGGCTGAGAGACCTGGGACTGTTAGAGAAGAGAAGGCTGGGGGAGGGGGGATCTTATCAATGTCTATAAATACCTGAAGGGAGGGTGCAAAGAGGACAGAGCCAGGCTCTTTTCAGTGGTGCCCAGTGACAGGACCAGAGGGAATGGCCTCAGAGAACATCAGGAAACACTTTTTCACTGTGAAGATGACTGAGCACTGGCACAGGTTGCCCAGAGAGGTTGTGGAGTCTCCAACCTTGGAGATATTCAGAAGCAGCCTCCTGGACATGGTCCTGGGCAGCCAGCTCTGGGTGTCCCTGCTTGAGCAGGGGGGTTTGGCCCAGATGACCTCCAGAGGCCCCTTCCAACCTCAACCACTCTGTGATGTAACATAGCATTCCTTCCAGTACTGTGTCCTTAATTCTGATCGTGTTCTGCAGAATCTGTATCCTAAAAAAAGGCAGAAATGCACCGATACCATTTAGGAGCAAATCAGCTCATGTAAGTCTCAGATAAATGGTGCATCGTCAGACAAATGGAATACTAGGGAACATGTGATTGACAAATTCCTAACAGCTTTGTAGGTCTAGAACTCTGTAAGCTCTCAATGAAAACTATTAAACTCTCCACAGCCCAGAATTAGGTGAAGCCCATTTAGGAAAATAAAAAAAGGTGACATGGTCTTATTTAGTGTTCATCTGTGCTGTAGCCTTTACAATGTATCTTGGAGCCCTGCTGCACAGAACTGTGTGGCAAACTGTAGCTTCAGATAAAAAGTCTTTATTATTCCTCTTCACGTGTAGGGTATTTAAGGATATCAGTTTGGAGATGATACACTGAAAAGAACAGCTGTTCTAGACAAAGAGGGAGATTTTAATAAATCAAATAGACTTGTTTGCAAAAGAAACTGAGATCAAGTACAATTGTAACTGTATCAAATAGATATGGAAGGCAAAATAGCAGCCTGAAATAAAACAGGCATGCAGATTTGAGAAGGAAAAGTTAAGTTCTGGAAATACTTATCGTGAATCATGGATTTGATCTGTGCAGCTAAGACACAGAACAGGTCTGTAAGGGAAAAAAAAGTAAAATTTGCACAGTATTTCCAATCAGTTTTTCCTCCATTAGCCTCTTTTTGAGACCTTTCATTAAAATTGATAGAAAACCCTCACCAACACTACATATGAGGAGTCAAACCCTTTATCTGGAAGGGTCAGTCTGAAATAGTGGCAATTGTGTTCCTAAAAGCTGTTTTATGTTATCTTGTAGACCACACAATAAGCAATAAATTCATACTCAATAAAATATTAGTATGTTCAAAGGGAATCTGTCATCTTTCTGTAATTCCTGTTATTAGGGGAAAGTCATCCTTGGTGGAGAAGTAGATATTGACTGTACTTTTATAGTTGACTGGAAACTGTGGTAGGGGTACATGCTCTGAAATCAATGGTGGCAGTAGTACTGTCTGCTCCTGGATACGGACAGGATAAGTGAAGGGAATCTCTTGCTAGACCAGCAAATGTAATTGAAGTTAAGTATTTGGCCTTTTGATATTTCCATATTAAAATTTCTAAATCCAGGAATAGCTATGGACTATACGTATTTTAAGTTCTGCACTAATGACAGTCTTTCAGTATGTAAGTATCTTGTAGTGTTAAGATTTTTCATTAAATCCTTTGCTGCTTAATAACGCAGTGTGGAAACTGCAAAATCACCCTAGGTTACTTGAGAAAATGATCAAAGTGAAAGTCAGTGGCATGGGTTTCTTTCTCATAAATATACTTTTAAAGCTTTTATTATTAGCTGGTTGTGGGTTACTTTTAACATCAAGCCTCAAGTATAGTTTGCATTCTTCCCCAGACTTTCCATTTAATTTGAAACTTTCTCAATTTGAAAACTGTATATTGGAATGAAACTTAGCTAGGAGTATTTCAGGGACACCCTAAATGAGCTGCTTAGAGATAACTGAAAATTTTGTGCAGGTAATTTTTCTGGTGGATAAAGATTTTTGTCAGAACTAAGATTTTATTATAGGAAAATGTCACTTTCTTTAAGACTTCGAAATTTCTATTTTCTGAAAATAGAAGAACTAATTTCAATTCAGTGTTTCCCTAGAAAACCACCTTAAAAATAATATTATAGAATACCTTATTTTGGAAATATGAATTCAAAATTCTGCTTCTTCCACTCTGATTCAGAATGTATCTAAAATTAAAATGTTGAAATCCATTGCAAATCAAAAGAATATGTTAAAGTGGGTTAATAATGTGTGTTTGAATGTGCAAACATTTTAATTATATAGCAAGCTTCTTGATGGATTTTCAAGTTTTTATAGTTAATGTCTCATGGGAAAAGACAAAATGGGCTGTTGATTTAGTCCCTTGTTGTTTATTAAGGTATTAACCAGAGGACTCTTAGTCTGCCTGTGATGAGTTTGAACATAATTGCCAAACTGTATTAAGTGTTTAAAAAAAAATGTATATTTTGATAACAATACCATATTCCTCAAGAAATACTTTTTAAAATAGGAAATAACAGGAATAAGTCATTATTTTTAGGAGTGATGAAATGATTACCGGTATTTTTGATAACTTTCTCAGAGATATTTAATCATTTATGATTGAGTACTCTGAAATTTTTATCTGGAATATATTGGTTTTATTCAAGCCACTCAACTGTAACTGTCTTATGAGAAGATATTTTACAACAGTAAATCTGTCCTGAATAATTTCCTGACAACCCTATTTTTACATATTTTCTCTTTCTTTTCCTGAAGCACAGGGACAGTCCTGAAAATAATCCAGATACTCCATTTGAGTTCACACCTGAAAACCAAAAGGTATGCAGACAAAAAAAGTTAAACACACAGACTTTGTCTTTAGATCAGTACTGATTCTTTCCCTTTAAAAAGCGAATAGAAGCAATCATAAACAACTACCCAGGGGGACACAAGTCTGCAGCTGTCATGGCAGTACTAGATTTGGCCCAAAGACAGCATGGATGGTTGCCCATATCGGCTATGAACAAGGTACTTAGTACTTAATTCTCTTTCAAGCATAATTTTACTGTTTTCTTTACATATGTTACTAGAATATTGGCATTTATTTATCAAAGCGTACATGTGGCACAGAATTGTGAGAATTCTCTATGAGACTACATTTTAAAAAACAGAAGGGAAAACTAACCCAGGGAACTCTGGGCTCTGTTGTTTACATAATGTTAGCCCATTGCTAGAAACTACAGACAGAACAAAACAAAAATTACACGAGCCTTATTTAGATAGGCTCTTTTCCCAGAATCGTCCTGGAAGTAGGAACAGAAACTTGAAAAATTTTGTCCGCTGATGAATTTGGGGGAAGAAAAAAAAGAGAACAATAGTGGGGTTTTTCTTCTCTCAGATTAGTGGCACTACACACGTTACCAGGGTTGTACTTAATCTCTAGGCCTGTAAAAACTTCTGCAAAGCAGTGTTAGTGTAGTATGTGTCACGAGTGTTTTATAATGCCTCCCAGCGAGTGCCAGGAAGACTTAAGAAATTATTTATTAAAATCGTTTCAAAATAAGCAAGCAAGCAACTACACTGCTCCAAAGTGGTAAGTTGCATGACAGTAATCAAATACCAAGAAATAAAAAATTCTGGTTTGTATTCATATGAGTAAATCTATCATATTATTTGTTACAGTCTGGCATGTCATCAGTTTTAAAGTGAAAAGTTTTAAATTCAATCAAGATATGCTAAGTGAGGATTGTGAGCATTACAGAAATTACTGAAGGAATTAAACGCACATTTAGAGAAGGGCAGCTTACGTCTGCTGCTGTTTCTACAGTGTAGCCTAAAGCCTCAAATTGCCATTAATACTGAATGGGAAAAGTATTTTTGTTTATTTACTCTTAAGTTTCGGATTGATATTCTATTTAAAATGATCTTAAGATTTTTAAGTGAACAAATATTTACTGTGGTTTGTTATTTGCCTGCTACAGAGACTGGAACATAAAACAGTTACACTTTTGAAGACAGAGCCAGTTCTCAACCTGAGCAGTTTGCCAGGGTTCCAGGTTAATGAGGTCAGGGATACTTACACCGCAGCTGGCTCCATGGAGATCGTGCTTCACTCCCTATTTATTAGCTGTGACGCCAATCCGCAGATGTTGCGGTGGCGTTTCTAAGGCCAGCCCTGGTGTGTCACAGAACCCGAGACAGGTCTGCTGTATTTGAATTAGGTGAGCGTAGTACCAGCCTGTAAGTATTCCCTTAACCAAAAGGCTTACGTGGCTTAGCGTGGGCAGATGCGTACACGTTTGTTCATTCATACAGCAAAGGAGCAGAAGCGCAGTATGAGCTGGAGCTGACAATGAAAGCTAGAACCCAGCTGACTCCTCGCATCTGGCTTCTGTATGATGCTAGATGCTGGAGGGAACTGACTGGAGCTCCTCGCTGTGCTAATCTGTGGCTTAGTGGAGTTTGTGCTTCAGCAGGGTGACTCCAAGCGGAGTAACTCAAGTGCCTTTCCTTGGCACTCGAATACAGTTATGCTTTGATACCCATCCCCTCCCTCTTTATTTATCTGTTACTGCAGACAGAGGACAGGTGACTTTATTGTTAAATGCCTTTACTGATGCCCTGTGAGAATTCAATATAGTGTCCGTTTTCCCCTTGTCACAGGTTGCTGAAATTTTAGAAATGCCTCCCATGAGAGTGTATGAAGTAGCAACCTTCTATACGATGTATAATCGCAAACCTGTTGGGAAATACCATATTCAGGTCTGCACTACCACGCCTTGCATGCTGCGAGACTCTGATAGCATTTTAGAAGCCATTAAGAAGAAACTTGGTATGACACAAATTTGTGATATACTTTTTGTAATTTTTTTTACCTTTGTTTAATGATACTGAAGTAAAATTTTTCATATGGTGGGGATAGAGTGAAAATATAGAGTGAAATCATTGGAGAATACGCACTAAATACTTCAAATTTCAGGTTTGGCATTTATTCTTTATTTCTAAAGATTTCAGTACAGTAGAGCAGAAAAGGCCATTGTCTGGAGTGGTTTTAAAGGCCGTTTGCCAGGAAATGCGTTAATCTAATACGACCCTTGGACTGAGAAAGTCAGCCCTATCCCATGTATAGGAGAGGACACTGAATGCTATGGCACTTTTTTATATGCAAAGTAAGATTTTTAAGGTATATGCTATATGAAAAGTTTTTGTGAGGGGTTTTTTACTTGAGTAAGATGATAAAATCATAGAATGGTTTGAGTTGGGAGGAACCTTAAAGATCACCTAGTTCCAACCCCCCTGCATTGGGCAGGGACACTTTCCACTAGACCAGGTTACTCAAAGCCCCATCCAGCCTGGCCTTGAACACTTTCAGGGAGGGAGAATCCACAACTTCTCTGGGCAACCTGTTCCACTGTCTCACCACCTTCACAGTAAAGAATTTCGTCCTAGCATCTAATCTAAATCTACCCTCTTTCAGTTTAAAACCATTATCCTTTGTCCTATCACTACACTCCCTGACAGAGTCCCTCCTCATCTTTCCTGTAGGCCCCCTTTAAGTACTGGTAGGCTGCTATAAGGTCTCCCCACAGCCTTCTCTTCTCCAGGCTGAACAACGTCAACGCTCCAGCCCTTCTTCATAGGAGAGGTGTTCCAGCCCTCTGATCGTTTTCATGGCCCTCCTCTGGACCTGCTCCAACAGGTCCATGCCTGTCTTGTGCTGGGGGCTCCAGAACTGGATGCAGCACTCCAGGTGGGGTCTCACCAGAACGGAGTAGAGGAGCAGAATCACCTCCCTTGACCTGCTGGCCATGCTGCTTTTGATGCAGCCCAGGATGCGATTGGCTTTCTGGGCTGCAAGCGCACGTTGACGGCTCATGTCCAGCTTTCCATCTACCAGTACCCCCAAGGCTTTCCTCTGCAGGGCTGCTCTCAGTCCACTCATTGCCCAGCCTCTATCCATGTTTGGGATTGCCCTGACCCAGGTGCAGGACCTTGCACTTGGCCTTGTTGAACTTCACGAGGTTTGCATGGGCCCACCTTTCTAGCCTGTCAAGGTCCCTCTGGATGGCAAATATGATGTTAACGTAACTTATGAATTCTCTGTGGAAAATGTCAGTTGAGAGTGCTGCATCATATGAGATGCAAGGAGAACCCATGGGTTTTGTGTGGGGTTGTGTTTTTTTTTTCCTCCTTGTTGGGTGGTTGTGGGGAGAAGAGGGGATAAGATCAGCAACTAACAACTCTTCCCCTTTTATGAAGTCACAAGCTGTGCTAACATTTCCGAAGAACCACTGTGATAAAAGCTGCAGAACAGCTGCTTATTATCTTGCATTTCATATATTCTGTTGTCTGGAAAAGGCATATTTAGATGAAATTTGTCTTGGTTTGTTACTGCAAAGATAGCTTAATTTTAACTGAAACTCTTAGCTTGAGAAATCAAAGCATTAGGGATGATTGTGTAGCTCTTACTGAGACACAGGCCTTACTTAGACTTTTATTAGGCTTTTTTTCCCCCCCTTCTAATAAGTATGAAGGAAAACTGCTTTTCAGCATTCTTCCTTCCATGGAGTATTTTGTTGAGATCAGACTCGGATGTTATTTTGGCTAACCTGCCCTCTGGAGAATGTCTGTATCTATATCACTGGAACAATAATGTGTCATGGAAGCTAAGTATGTGTACAGAGTTGTTCAGGAAATAAGCCTTTGTGTATGAACTTGGAAGTTGTTTATGAATTAGTAGCTAACAACATTAATGCTTGGATCTTGGTTAATTTGGGAATTGAGTACTCAACCCTATATGTTAATGCACTTCATATCAGCACACAAAAGCAATGTTTTCCCTATTTTTTCCATTCTATTCTATTGATTACTAAAAATGTTCCTGAGTAGAGCTGTTCTGTTTCTTAGAACTGTCATTTCATGGGTTTTCTTTCAGTAAATCATACTGGTATGATTTTACCTGTAAACCTGTAAATGAGGTCTCAAAAATGTTTCTGAAGACTGACTTCAGAGTTTATTAGAATCCTTTGTTTAATGGAAACATTTTGGACTCATTTAAGAGGATTTAACTATGCAAATGTTTTTAAGGCCAAAATACAAGTAATGAGAAGACTATGGAGTACTTAGACTCATGCTTTATTAATCTTGTTCAGTAACCATTCCTGAACCTAATATTCTTTATTGGTTTAGGTATAAAAGTTGGGGAAACAACACCTGATAAACTCTTCACACTGATAGAAGTGGAATGTTTAGGTGCTTGTGTAAATGCACCGATGGTACAAATAAATGACAATTACTATGTAAGTATTATATTCCCTTTTAAAAGATTAAACTTCTTTGCTGTGTTACCTGTATTTTCACTTGTTTCAGAACCTGAAGGTTTGGTCAGTTACTTCAAATTCCTATTGGCAGGGACAACTTGCGACCTAGAGCATCTTTTAGTTTCTTGTCATCTTCCTAGAACGCTTCATCTGTATCACAGCGTATCCGTGTATTTTTCCTTTCAATTACTGTCTTGATTTATACAAGTGGGGTGATGCGTTTTTGTGATAGTGGTGTGCCCGTAAATCTGGAATTTTTAAATAGGTATTTGATAAGCTTTTAAAAGCACTTTAAAGCAGTCGGTTGGAAAGTATGGACTGGTTTAACACTATTTTTGAACTTTTAGACTTCTGAGTTATGGCTCACTTGGATGCCATCAGACCAAAGGAAGGAATGTATTAACTGAATCCAGCTTTTTAAAAAAACTTGTTTTTAAAATATTTTATTTTGTTATCACAGTCTGATTAATTTTTTAAGAATTGTACCCACAACTTTTTTTGTCACAGCTGACACCATTTTGTAGTATGTGCAATGGCATGTGTATAGTGGGTAGGCAGAGATCCAGCTCACTAATATACCAAGGAAGCTGAAAACACAAATCCATGTTATAGATGACCCACATCAACATGGTTAGTTTTAACATAATTTCTGTAACTATATGTAAAATAAAAATTTTAACATTAAAATTACAGTAGGCTTTTTGATTTTCCTAATTCTTTGAACCAGTATTTGTGTTAATGGACAGGATCAAAATTACCTGTGCTAGGATGACACCTAAGAGAGCCACTATCTGATGAACTTTGAACGCTGCAGTGAGCATAATTGCTGACTTTTTCTGTTTTGTCAATGATCTGATTTTTTTTTCTTTTTTTACAGGAAGATTTGACACCCAAAGATATTGAAGACATAATTGATGAGCTAAAGGCTGGCAAAGTTCCCAAACCTGGCCCAAGGTATGCTATATTTGCATAATAATGGCCAACTACCTGAAGGCTGATCCTTTAGAGTAACTAAGTTCCTGTTCCTGTGATTTCAGTTCACAACCTGCAGCTAAAAAGCATTAATTACTGAACAGAATGGCATGCATTCAGTGCCTTTCTATATATTCAAAGCTAAAAGAACTGGAAAGAACTGAGAAGAGAATTTTTCATGTTCTTGACGACTGACTAGAGGAGCATAAAATGTGAAAATGTCAATTCTGATTTGGCTTAGTACCTAATAGGGGAATGATATCACCTGTTGGATTTTTTTTGTCTAGATCAAGTAAATCAACAAATGCCTGTTGGTTTTCTGAGTTGTTTGGGTTTTTTTATTTCTGACAAAAACCAGGAAGATTGCAAGTTTGTGAAAGGGTTATTATTTCTGAACTTCTTTATCTATTATTTCCCATTGTTCTTTGTTAACCCAACTACACATATGTTTGTGTGAATAGAGAAATTAATTTGACTTGTGTGTGTTACCTCTTCCTATTGTTTCTATAATGATTTTTTTGAACACAAAACCAATAATCTTAAAACAGGTAGTTTCCAAACACAGGGAAGCATCTTTAACAAAAATATGATACTGCCTTGGGTATTACTGGAATCAACATCACTTTTGTCTGGCCAACCTATAAATAAATAGGAAAACTAGCGGTCCTATCTTGCATTTCAGTTATGAAACTCTGTCACTACTTGAATTTGGAATCCTTTTTATTTAAGAGTAGCATCACACATTTCTGAAGGATGAATAGGAAGAATGAAAGAAAAAAGAAGTGGCTTCAGCCTTAAGTCAGATTTGTAACTGTCTTCTATCCAGTGATTAAACAGTATCTGAGGCTATAACAATATCAGCAATGAATAAAACTCTCTTCATTTTTCAGGAGTGGACGTTTTTCTTGTGAGCCAGCTGGTGGCCTTACTTCTCTGACTGAACCACCCAAAGGACCAGGTTTTGGAGTTCGAGCTGACCTCTAAGGATTTTTTTAATGTAAGATGAACTGTCTGAAAACAATAAAGTAACTTTAATCTCGGTAAAATGATGTATGTTCTAGTACTTCTTTAAAAAATGAAGAAAGCAACAGCAATTTGAATATCTAACTTACCATGGTTTTAACTACTGCAAAGCATAATCATAATTCTAGATTATAAGAAAAGTGGTTCTGCAGACTGTAGAGTGGCTCACTAAAAGAGTCCACTTAGGATCACTAAGAGATGAAAGTTGCATCTTTTGATCTGTCATTGAAAATTCTTCCAACTTTTTCTAAGGTTCTTTGAAGAAGCAACAAAACTGACTAAATTATAAGTCTGGCAAATGCATAAGGAAACAAACTGAAAGGAGATTATCTGACAAAACTTCATCACATGTTACTTTTAATTGCAATTTGAAAACAAAAAACAAAACAAAAAAAAACCAATCAGGAAGGGTGACCCAAACTGTGTCATGTAAAAAATCTGGTAGGTTCAGTAATAAGTGGTTCTTCTTGAGTCTAATTCTTCTTACTACCATTCAGTGACCAGGAAAAATGTGAAAATTATCTTCTTATTATGTTACCAAAAAAAAACCCCAGGTACCAGTAGTACTCTAATAAAAGAATGAACAACAAGAAACCACTTCCTGTACAAATTTATACAATACAGCCAAGGTATGCAGTTGGGGGAAGACAGAATATACCACAACAGTTTAATACATGGCTAAGTGTAATATATGAAACTAGTTACTTGATTCACGGATCCTTCTTTGACCTTACTGCTACGTATCAGCTACTTTTAAGACCCAATCTGTGTGAAATTGAGGTATTTTTCCCAATATAAAAAAAGTTGAAGATAATTTTTTAAAAAATTGACTGCATATTGACACTTAATACATATGCTTGTAAAATCTGGGAAATGCTTTATATATATATATATACACATATATATACATTTCAATGTAAATTAGGAAATGTGAACATGTCAGTCACCTGAGACCATATTGGGTCTGCCTCTTCTAAAATCTGCTGTGGAGCTTAGATTCTTATTACAATTAATGTAATAGATGGAGCTTAATTGTATAATTTATATTTTATTCTGAATTATATTTCGTTTGTTTTGGTATTCTGATTAACAGTACTTCCCTAAACTATTCTCCCTCTTCTGAGTCAAATTTGGTACCTACAGATTTCCCTGCATCATGGTTATCTCATGCAGTAGTCTGTTCATGCCCCACCTTTACTTCAGTAGGCTGTGAAGTTCCTTGATGTATTGTTAAACAAGTAGTGTTACTGTTGGTAGTTCTGAGAGCAAAATATATATGTATATCATTTGTATGTAAAACTTGCTATCCCTTCTACATTACTAAATTTATAATATGAAATAATGGAATTGCATACAAACAGGAAAGTAAATTTGATAAATAAATACAAGTAATGAGTGAAGCAGTCACCCAATAAGCATGGAAGAAAATCTTGTAAGTGGTATAGAACACTGTGCAATTGTACATGGATTGAAATATTTGTAATTTAAAGTTGCTGAATGCTCTTCTGAAAGGTCACTGCAGTGTAACGGCCACACGCCTTGTAGCAGGCCAGGCATCTGGCACTATGCGGCACAAAATGAGATAGCATATTACATTTTGATACAAAGACAGACTCATTTTAAGACACCAGTCTAACTAAGCTGTTTGCTCAACTGTAACAACAAAGCTGTACTCTATTCCATATAGGATTATCTTATTCTAACCTAGTATGAAAGCAGGCAACTATTTTTAAAGTATACGTTGAATATAAATGAGGATTTTGCATGCATTATGCAACTATCGTGTGCTACAATTATTCATGTTTTTGTATGTAACTGAAACTGATGGGATTGCATAATTGTGTTGAAGGGAAACATAGTTTTAGACCTGCCAAGTTTGAAACTTTCAGGTATACAAAACCAAGGCTCTAGAATGCCAGACTCCTCCCATTGGTAAAGCTGGGCAGGAGAATTTGTCGCCTTGTCCCGCTTTTCTCCCCTGTTCATTCCATCTGTACGTGAAAGTCTTGATGTCTGTCTCATGAGCAGAACATGGACCTCAACAGTTTCCCATTTGTTGGAGATCACGTTAGTGATGTTCCACAGACAAGTATGTCAGTCACTTTGATGCAACACGTAACAGTCTGCCAATCACTTGACTAGAAAAGGATAATTTACATTATCCTTATTGTGTGGTACAAATCTGATACAGCACTGTTTAAATGCAATACTGCAGGGCAGCTATAGGACTGCGAAATATTTGAAGAGAAATAAGCAAATAACCATTACTCTTCTCTCTTACCCACTTCACTCATCAATTATATGAGGCTTTATGGCCCTGGTTTCTACATCAAAAAAGTTTGGCAATCATTGTATTAAGATAAATGATTAAACAAAAAATTCACATCTTGTGTTCTTTCAGGTTTTGTTGAAATTTGAACATTTCGAACATCTCCACTAGAGATACAGATTCTGCAATATTTGTTACATGTTGTTTATTATATACAAAATTACTTTCACAATGATAACTTCTGCAAGACTGTGATGAGGATTAACAAGGTGATCACTATGGAAGAGTTCTAGAATAGCGTAAGAATTAATATATCCAAGTTCTCTTTTCTGTTCCTGAATAGCTGCAGATAATACCCTGTGCTTGCTTTTACTAGTAGTATTGAATATTTTAGGTAACAAGTATTAACAGGACATAACTTCCATCATTCTCAATCTTCAATAGCAGAGGGTTACTAATAGTAGTTCTAGGCAGCTGACACTAACGTCAAATAATTAAACGCTTTTAATTCTGCAGTTTTGATCTCCTGGTTAATATCTTGGAATGGGCAAGTACAGGGTGGTGAGTTAAATGAAAAATGAGTTAACTACGGCAACTGCCAATGCAGTCCCTTAAACTGTTAACGCAGCAGTGACAGAACCAATTCTGTGTTTTTGGTGGTCTTGCTTGCCCCTCTCCTTGAACAAGGGAAAAATAAAAGAATTCACATGCTATATTAATTCTCCAAATGGAAAAGTTGAAGGAAAAAAAGGCCGCCCTTTAACTGGGGAGGAAAAAAAGATTACCTAGAGAAGATTTTAAGAAAAATAGGTACAGTCTTGGGAAAGGAAATGAGATTTAGAGCATGGAAGCAGAAGACACGCAAAGAATCCACTGGACTGAGAGAGCGGGTGGTGGCTGTTCTTTCCTTTGGTAACGATGGAAGAAAGTTTGGACTAATAGGAAACTCCACTAGATACTCAGTGTTGGATGATGGAAAGGATTTCCATGACCTCCACAGACCACTAGAAAAATGCTACGTGGAACTGCTTGCTGTCATGAAATAGGAAGCAGCAATGACATTCAGCTCCATCTGTGCAGTATGTTAGCTGGGCTCACTGGCTGACCCACCGGTTACCTACCCGAGGCTAGCGCATGTGCTTTCACCAGCGTGACATTTTGCAAGTTCTTAGGATAAAGTTCTTACTTTTAGATGTTTGTACTGCAGTCTGAGATTTTCAGTCAATTACTAGACTGAATTCAGCAATGGCGCAGTTGAACCAGATGCCATGCACGTTTGTCTCAAGACCAGGAGTTCACGCAGCTGATAACACAAGAGACGTTGGCAGATCAAGGGAGGTGCTAGGCACGCCACCTCACTGCAGCCACACAGGCGATTTGCAGCTGTGCTATGTAAAAGGGAGGGGCTTCTGGAGACAAGGGGAAGAAACTAATGTAGGGGTAGCAATTAGCAATTAACTGACTGATGCTTTTTGTTAGTCCGAACGGTAGTCCTTATTAAAGGCTTAAGGAACCATATTTTTTAGTTATTGAGAGAGATTATTATCAAATCTTAACATCTGCTGCAGAAGGTGTTGCTCACGAGAATCCTTCCCCGTTATCTCAGCTGCTGGTTGCAAACACTTAACACACACTGAAATCCTGCAACTGCACGCTACTGGTGCTGCTGCACACGGATCAGAATGCTGTATGACACCGCCACGCTACACCTGTAGCCTGTTGTTTTCTAGGTGGTGAATCATCAGTATCCTCCCTCTACAGTACTGTGAGAAGAAGAAATATTCTGCCTTGGGAAACAGCTCTTACACTGGCGGTCAGTAGCCTGCCTACTCTTCAATCTGCTTGCCACCTCAAGCGATGGCCTCCGTAATCAACCTGACGTGAAAAGATACGAAGTGAATGCAGCTCCCTTTCTTATGTGGTCACGGGTGTCACCATACCTGCTCCTAGTTAGATGACAGCACTCAAGGTACGCTGACAGAATCAAATGAAAATGAAGGCAGTTGCTTTACAACACCAATGACCTGTACCAGCATTTGTACAATAAGACTTTGGAAGCAAGCGAGAGAAGTTTGCCTGAACAGTAGGATGTTGTGCACGATGGCAATATTTGAGATTTCTGATGCCATTCTCTACCCATGCTGGAACATGATGGGTGGAAATCAGAATATAGAGGAAGTCCACACAATTAGGTGGCCTTAACCATAATAAGCTTTTAATTCTGAAAAATTCACATTTCTGACTCGCATAGTAAATACTAAGGAATTCTTGCTTTCTACACAACAACAGATGGAAGTAATCCAGTAGCAGGCTGAGCATGGCAATTAAGACTACATCAAATGGAAGGGCTTTGCTCAGCTGCCTTCTCAGAATACTGCACCTGACAGACCACCTATCTTTAGCACGTTCCAGAAGCCACCTGCAGAGTATTACTCAACAACCCACGAGTACAGAACCACACAGATTCTTTAAGTCTTACCACATAATACTACTTTAATAAGCAGATGCAAAACCTTTCACAAGTGCAGATGAATGACCCGTTTTTAGGGTTGCAACTAGGGCTAACGTCAGTCTACTTCTGTAATGCCTTTTGATGCATTGATATGACGTCTGGCTTTCGAGCACAAGTAAGACACCCTAAAAATCCGGGTTTTTTTTTTTTGTTTTGAAAACTAGAAGTGGGCCCAAGAGGCAGGTTGTGCCCGCCTGCGGGGCCCGGGGCCGCATACCCCCACCGAGGGTCCTGCAGCTCTC